TACTATCAACTTGTTCGTATTTTTCAAAGTCAGTTGACCTTTTTTGGTCTGGGGGATAGCTCTGAATGTCGTGATCGACTCTCACCAACGCACAGCATCCAAATACGACGACATTCGCGCTTTTTCTCATTGTCTCGGTAGACTTTCTTTCATGAAATCTGCTCGTTACTTGTGAGCAATATCCGTATGATAGGGGCATCTGAGCCTGAGGTAGTTCTGTGGTTCGAACCCAACCCAGACATCTCCACTGCTCCTATCTAGCCTTAGGTAACCTGGTCAGTACCGCGCCCCTCGTACATCCTTCGGGTAGCAAGACAACTAGACACCGAAATGGTGTTACAGTCGGGTGATAGGACATTTCAGTGATGCCCCGAGTACTGGGAAAAACACTTGTTGCGTTGTCCTCACACTTGTGGTAGTTCTCTCGAGAGATTGAAGAGCACTTGTAAGGAAAGCCACGTACAACGTTTGTGGCAGTGCTCATAACCTTCACGGTTGCTTGATCGAATAGCCCATTTCCAACGTGTGCGGTTATTGTATTCTACTCTCGATATTTACAAACTACACGTTTGGGAATAAGAAAACTCTACGAATCACATAAGTATGGCTCAGGTGGTTAGGGCGCGAATTTACTGACCGGAAGGTCCTGGGTTCGAACCCGACCTCTGGCTCTCGACTTTTCCTGTCTAGGCTTGGGCAACCTGGCAATACCCAGCCCTCGTGCAACCTTCCGGTGGCATGGTAGTTAGGCACCGAAAGGGTGCTACAGTTCAACGGAGGTCTTCACTCGAACGAGCTCCTGACCGAGTGTAGTTGTATGTCAAAATACTAACTGTGGTAGTGTTGGAACCATCCCGATACTTGTAAGTCGTTGTGAAAACGAATTGCTGGGTTTCACACCTCTTGGTTTGTCTGTTTTGTTCTACCACATCGCAAACCTACTATTCTTCCACTATGGAACAGTTCCTTCGAAGGCTGCGTAGTTTAGTCCCCTTTAACATGTAATTGTTGACGGGAAGTCACAAGAGATAATCGGTCAACTCTTGTGTTAGTAAAGCCTCAAAAGATCAGTCAGTCAGTCAGTCTTTTTTCAAACGGACATGCGTACACAAGCGAACCAATTCATAGTACGTTCAATACCGTTTTTTTGTCCTCAAGCGGTTTCCGGAACTGAAACATCGACCACTGCTGGTGGATTTGACCGTAGAGGAGAATCAACGATTGAAGGTTGTTTATGGTTCTGCGGCTGGCTTTCATGCGATCGATCTGGATTCGAATGCAGTTTTCGATTTGTACATTCCCTCAATGGTAAGTGCCTCCTGATTGCTTCTTTTTTTCTCGCTTTTTAGGACGTTTTCCTTAGGTTTGTTTAGTGATTAAGACATTAAAATGAAATGAACTGGTTGGCTGAAATCGGGGAACCAGACTAAACGTTTGGCCGGTTTAATCAAGTCAGTTCAGTTTATCAGCTATGAACCCTGTGCTTTGGTTCGAGCTGTGGGCGAGATGTCCCAAGTGGTTAGAGCGCGAATTTATTGACCGGAAGGTCAGTGGTTCGATCTCTGCCTCTCCACTTCCCCTGTCTAGGCTTGGGTAACCTGGCAGTATCCCAGCTCTCGTGCTTCCTTCGACTAGCATGTCATCTAGGCACCGAAAGGGTGTTACTACCCTATGTCCTGATTGATCGATGATCACGTGACCTTTGAGCTCGTCCTTCGTATCTTATTAGATGCTGGAATGACCTCTGTCCTTGACCCCTCAGAGCTCCGACTTACGATATTTCTTGACCCGACTCCAAGGCGTTCCTTGTTTCTTGATTTGCGAATCCGATATTCGGCTCTCCTTGAGTATTCCGATTGAGACATTGGTCCTTTGCACATAGTGTTGCATAAATTCAATTCAGTTCAGTGTTTCGGATGGATGGATGTTAGAACTCTAGAGTTGACCCAGTACGAAGTTGCTGACCGGTAGGTCCGTGGTTCAAATCCTACCTCTGTCTCTCGACTCCCCCTGTCTAGGCTTAGGCAACCCGAAGTATCCCAGCCCTTGTGCATCCTTCGGGTGGCATGGCGGCGAGACACCGGAAGGGTGCTACAGCTGAACTACTTGGTTCCAGTCACTCCTGTATTCGTCACCGGAAAATCGAAGAGGATGAAAGATGTAGCCAAGCCTTGAAGGCGATGGTATGATCAGTTAGTTCTGGAACGGAGTAGATGAATATTGAAGGCCGTGATTTCGATGCATGAGTGTCACTGCCTACGTAATTGGGCACAGCGGTTCTTTTTGAACAACAACGAACTCTTTGGTTTTAGTTGGAATTCGTCCGTGTTGAATACTGCGCCGGCAGTCACGATCAGCCTTTTGGCGATCGGAGTTTACGGTTTTCAGGACCGACTTTTCTAACCGATTCTTCCTCGAAAGATGGCAACATCGCCGCCTCGATTCATATGAACCGTACTGCATTCACATCCCCATTGCAGAGGACGGTGGGACTTTACCCCTCGTGATGCGATTTATCGCAGTACGTGGACTCGCTGTTCTTCGTCGGGCTGCCCCCTTCCTGGCATGATTAGACCTTTAGGAACTGACCTCCAGTCAGCATAGCTCTCATAAACCCGACTACCATGACAATGTGACAAGGTTGGGGTGTGCAGAAATACAATAGTTTGACGTAGAAATGGGCTACTGCGTTTGTTACGTGTTCCATCGCTTTTACAGTTTACTATTATCGAAAGAATACCCCGTTTGTTCGCTTCTACTTCCTGAACTGGTTTACCTTGTTCGCCCCACCCGTTAGTTTCTGGTTCAACTATGGGCTGCTGTGATCTCAGCTTTGTCACCGCATCTTAGCAAACGATGCACTCATGCTTGTGTACCACGTGGCGGAATTTTAAAGTCAGACAATCGTCACCAAGGGGCCGACTAATTCATAGCATAACGATGGTGGTATGCAGGGCAGTTGGGGTTCTTTGTGGTGTAACCTTGATCGGCGGTCTCGTTCTCAGTCGGACATACGTTCTAACCTATCAGGAACTATGCCCCACAAGTGTCGACAACTAAATTGCCGGTTTTCCTCTCACTTATTGGTTGTATTGTACAGGTTTTTTTTCATGTTTCTGGATGAACTGACCCGTCCTTTGGTATGTACTTTGCACCTACAAAGTGTAAGGTCATGCTTGTGGACGTGCAGTCACTGAACACACCACTTACAATCCAGGGAGACGTACTGGAAGTTGTGGAACGTTTTACATATCTTGGAAGTTGTATTAGTTTTGATTGTAGTGTGACAGATGAGGTGAATGGACGAATCT